CACGTCGTTCTGTATGTAAAACATAAATATATCTACCAATATCATTTAATACTCTCTCAGTGACATCTGGTCAATTATCAAATATTTGAATTTTATATTCAAGGACTTACTGCTTGGTTGTTAGTAATATTACTATAGATAGAAGTAAGACATGCTTGTGAGTTTCTTTTGTGCTGTATTGTGTAATTAATTTCTTGTGAGCAATCTACAGTCTACATTATTATCAGATCTGTGTGTTGTTTAACAATAACTGAAATGAAGAAGCCTGTTGAATTTCAGTGATCTGTTTAAAATTGATATATGCTCTTAGAGTTATTGCCCTTGATTATGTCGTAGAACCATGTCAATGCACAAATATGTTATTTAGTATAAATATTTGGCTTTTTGTTTCAACTAAAAGATTTACAATGCCATGATCGGATACTTCATTACTTGACAACATTGTTAGATCTTTTGAGATTGATGAAAAGCATAATACATCACTTGCATTTCAGTATAGAAAATTGATGGATTCAATGTAACTGACACGAATATCCAGTGTCCAAAAGCTAGATATGACTGTTGATTTCGGCAAATTGATTGCAAGCAATATTGTAGTGATTGAAAACAAACTGTATGTTGATGAAATCCACTTAGTAATAAACAATAAATAATTACTTGCTGTTAATTTTATAACCCATCTGACAAACATTAATAGCATCTATAACCTGCTGACCACTGGTCAGAAATCAATTATTCTACATCCTTTAACATGAGATGACCAATGACTGACCACATCAGACATTACTTTAATTGTTATATCGATTCCCCTTCCTGTTTCATTGTCACAATTTGTCTTGACATTGATAGACCTGATATCATCTTCTATTCATATAGATTATTAAAATAAAATTCCCTTCTTATTTTTATATTCCTCTTGGCGAGCAACATTGTCTAGCCATTCGGATTGGATGAAAACTGAGGTCCCTGTTACAAATTGGCATGCACATAACCCTTGACTTGGTATTTGTAGTAAGAGTAGACCATAGCGTTGCTAAGGCCAAATAACCCTCAGAGCACAAGGCATGACATATGCCCAATTTTGTTAGCCTGGATGGCTCAGAAAAGTAGGACATTAAATCTTATTTCATTTAATTTTCATTTCATATTTTTCTGTGACAAAATCACTTCTGAAGGAACTCGTCACAATACTGTTGATTTCTGGTAAAACAACACTTGAAAACCTTTCACATGAAGAATTAGCCATTTACTAGTTCACTTGAATCAATCAGATGCAAAGTTCTAAAATGTGTGAATGTTGTTGATGCATTGTAGTGGGGACAATATTGGTATATCCATGGACCTTATAATACATAAGGTCCATGGTATATCTAGAAAATGAGAAACAAGTCATAATTGAGTTTATGTTCCTTGTAGTTGTAGTCATTTCCATAATGATTAACATCCCAAATGCATCATTTGTTGACATGACCTGCCAACACAAGTCAGTAAAAATATATTGTTTTCCTTAGTAACAACTTACAATAGCTATGGGGGCAAATCTACTGTCAGCAATAGATCATAAACATGGGTTTGATCCCAAACTTGTCCATGACAAGTTGTAAAATTGCCAGCCCAACCTCGTGGGTTCTATCCAGAGATTCCTATTTCTTCCCACTGGCTGACCACTAAACCCAAGTGAATTATTAAAATTAAACTGATCCATATCAGTGGTCCTCCCTCTCTCTCTCTCTCTCTCTCTCTCTCTCCCTCTCTCTCTCTCTCTCTCTTGTCTGTTCAATATTTCTAATAACTGAACTAATCTAGACCTACCCCTAGAATTGTAGACAACTATGTCAATAATGTCAGAAGGTTATTCGAGGTCCAGATATCTTGTTGCAAAATGTCACCAAGTGTCAATAGAAAGGTTTCACTGCCAGATCTGGGTGTCGGGCCAAAGACCTTTGAACTGTGACCTTTGACAGGTCAGCCACAATCTTTAAGTCCTTACTTAAACAAATAGCCATCTTGGTATAGGTTACCAAGTGACCAAAGTAACCCACTGCTCAGATATTGGGGTAACGTTGTAAGCTGATGTAATTATGTTAAATATGTTAGCTGTGTCGAGCAACACGTGGACACAGAAATATTTAGTTGACACAAGAAAATAGAAGCTTATAACAAGTAATTAACTCAGACTTGTTAATATTTACCAAATCACATATATATGGTACAATAACCAGGAGCTTTAATTCAATGTCCTTTAATAGGATGGATGGTACTACTGATTAATATAGTTACATCTCTTATTTTGAGAGTATCCTCAACAGTATTATATTATAATAATTATTGTCCAATTACATAAAATCTTTTACATTTTATGGGAATAAATGAATATTCCAAGAGCATCAATTTTCTTTGATGATTGTAAATAGGGGTGCCCCTTAGATCATAAGGTCTGTCACTGAGTCAATTGGCATGGTTACGATCCCACACTTGTGACAAAGAGTAGAGTAGGCTGGCTAACTTTGTGGGTTTACTCCATTCAAGCGAATTATTTAAATAAGATTGTACTATCTGTTTGTCACAAAGTTACCTAATTTGTGTTGAGTGGATTTAAACCCCATTTCTCTCTTTTTGCAAATAAGGTAAAAATAAACTGAAAGAAAGGTATAATTTTCCAAATTTTCTTGGTAGTCATCCAAGTCAAGATATTTATTTTATAAACTCAAAGGTTCAGTTTGCTTATGAGAGGGTCAAATCTAATGGTTAACTTGAATATGCTGTATGCATTATGATAAAAAAAAGCTTTAGATGACTACAAGAAATCCTGCATTGGCTTAAAATTAGTTTGAGTTCTCTATATTGCAGTTAGATTTTTGATTTTGTTTTCATATTTACAAACTATTTGTGACCTGCTTAAACTGCGTAATACTAGAAATAAATGAAGAGATGATAGATAACTACATGCATCTCCAAAAACCAGTTTTACTAGATGTCCAGATGTGTTTCAAAAGATATAAAGAATCCTTGTATTTTGTAATCTAGCTAATAAATTTATAAATGATGAGGGTTTTTTTTAAAATGTGATTGGAGTTGTTTATCTGACGGGATGTACTCCGTGATAAGAAGTTAGCTTTATGATTGTTAAATCCTGTAATGTGAAGAGCAGAAATTTGGTAAAAGAAGTTATTCATATTCCTGCCTAACCACAAGATTTATGACACCTTGTAGATAAGACTGGATGTTTATATCTACTTATCCCATGTTTATTTTTATTTATTTATCAGTAGAGTCAGATACGAAGAGGGTAATTTCAAGTTGAAATCTTCCATGAAGACGTTTGGGATTGATATTTTTGTTTTTAAATCTAACTGCTGTCATTGACATGATGTAAAACAGTCCTCCATGTGTTTCTCGGTTCTGCCACCTGGAATGGCAGTCTAATGTATTAATCTTAAAAGTTTATTGCTGGTTGATTAGGGCTATTAATAGGATAATGCCTGGATATAACTAGGTCTAGAAACAATTAAAACATTTAATTAAGTCGCGATCAGTATAAATCTTTACAAACAATAATAACAAGGTGCTGAGTTTAAATCTCAGAGCTGAGACAAAGCTAGGAAATATTCAAGTACCTGTGGAGCTGACAAAATGTTGCAAGTCATTCAGATTGCAGTAAATACCGTCCAAGCATGTATACGTTGGTGTGCATATAAAAAAAACTTAACAGTTGAAATTCCATATAGTAGAGAATTTAATGTGATAAAACCATGGACTTTATAATATCCTCCTTTTTCTTCAAAGAAACTTGGATCCTTTATTAGGTCCTATTATTCATCTGTGATCTACAACTAATAAACTTTAAATATATATTATATCAGAACAAACAATACAAAAATCTTTACACCAATGAAACTTAACTGTATATGAACAAGAAAATTAGAAATATATACATGTTACAGGCCTGTAGCAGTAAGAAAATATAAAATTTAAAGGGGACAAAGTGTTGGCAATCAAAACATTCTGAAAAAATGTGAACTGGGTAACTTTTCTAATTCATGATGATGCAGTACAGACATGTAGATCTTTCCCAAGAGGCTATGGATTCAATCATAAGGTTATCCTTTTCTCTCTAAAAGTCTCTCACTTTTCCTTTACTTTAACCATGTGTGAGCAGTATGTAGACATGTACAATGTATCCATTGTTCTAAAATATTTAAGGTTTAGTAGTTTTTATTTACTATCTGTATTTTTTGTCCATGGAGTCATTGCACTTAAAATACATATCTAGTTAGTTGTTAGTCAAGCTTCCATTATTGTAGCTTCTGCCGACTCAGTAACAAATAAATTGTTTGTTGAACAAAACGTAAACAAAATAGAAATATTCATCATTTATTTCTATGGTAACCGGAAACAACAGCTTTACAGATACAGAAAGGTCTAACTTAGTCCTATCACATTGTCAAGCAAACATTTTATTTCAAAGTCTTCCAATGCAGCATATAGATGACATCCCAAATAGAATGTCTCATAGTGACATGTTATGGACAATAATAGATATCACCATTTTGCAAAAGCCCCACCCTGAATCTGTTGACTGCCAAGATTTCAGATCCAACACATACTTGATGGATAAGTCCAGATCTATGAAACTTGTGGTAAGCGTGGGATGCCGCTAATGGTAGAGATCCCACTCATCCACTAAGGGACATCATTAGTGATAATTTTTGTTATCAATGAATCAGACAAATATATAAAATATAATATGTTCTCAAATTTAGAAAACTAATAAATGATCAAGACATATTGAATGTTTGTATTTTGGCTTTGTATGCTTGTCCAGTTTTGTATATGATATTGTAAAAAAACATTTAATTAATATATCTTAAACCTGGTCCTGTCCTCATTAGCCCAGTCGGTGCAGAACAGTAGGAGGATGTTAAACCCCATTTCATTTCATAATTCTGTTATAGTATAAATATTAGATTTATTCTTTGATAACTCAGGACTATTAAAACTAAAAGTTTGAAAGGGAATATTTATTTAGTAAGCTATGGTACACATGTATCATTTTAAACTCAACCTGTTCATTCAAATACTACAATGAGAATGATTGATGGCACAGATGTAACACTCTATAGTTTCTGTTCTCGTAAAGATATTTGGTACTCTTAATGCTTTCACTATTTGTTTGCAATGAATCAGGAGAGAAAATCAAAGCAGGGTAATTTTCTGGTCAATATTGAGAATAGAATTAATCTATTGTGCTGCTAAAATCTCTAGTAGAAACAAGAGGATTCTATACAGGCAGTTGTCAAGGGGGTTGAACATTATCTTTACATTTACCAGGTTTTCTTGTTAAACTACTTTCATTTGTGTTCTGTATATGAATTAAGTTATATAATGATAAAAAGTCTAGTACAGAGGTTGTATAACTTTTTAAGTTAATGATGATACTTGTAAATTTATATGTTTAAATAAATATCCGTCCCGAGTTCAACTCCGCGGTTGTTTACCTTATTTCTGTCCCATTTTGAAATACCAGGTAACTTGTTTCTCAGGCAAGGTCTACTGAAAGAAATATAAGTAAATGGTATTAATGTCATCAGGCCATGGAGAATGATGACAGTCCATCTAGTAAAGCACAGTATGGCCTTTTTAAGTTGACTGCTTGGAGATTACTGTGTGTTGACACTAAGACTATATCAGGCATGTGGCAATACCTGCTTTTACTGCTCTACATTCATTAAACAAACATCGTCTTGAGTCTATATTAAGGTTGCCACATTTACTCCCAGTGTTAACTTGATGCAACATTCATATTTAGAAAACTTTCATTGGAGTCCCAGTGGATAGTTAATTTCTCCCACTTTCTTTGTTAGATTTTAAATAATGTTGAAACACTTTATTAAACAGATAGGTTGATACATACTATTGACGTGACGTAACATAGATACAGAACTTTATAAAAACAAATCAATGAAGATGCTATAGACGGTTAAATTTAAAATTTCCCCCCCCCCCTTCACATGCACACAACCACCCCAAAACATTGTTGAAATATTTTCATTACCTAGTACTTTAAGTTGTCTTAATTCAACCTAGACAGGAGAATTTGACAAATGCACAAATACAAAAACAGTTCTTGGTATTGCTATGGGAAGTTGAATAGCCCCATGTGACACGTTCAGTGAAACAGAAAACATGCCAAGTGTAAATCATGGTGTGATTTCACTTTAACCTTCATATACGTTTTCAAATATGTTTTTACTGATTTTAAAAGTTTTACATTTATGATAATTTGAAGTAAATCTCTTTATTAAAACTACAGATATTGATTTCAAGAATTTTTTAGACGGGTAATTTGCTTTATGGACAACGTTAAAAATTATTTTGCTAGTACAGATACATCAGTTGGACTGAAACCATGGACCTTATAATATAAGGTCCATGCTGAAACATAATACAAATTTTCTTTTTGTAATAAACTGTCATGGATGTGTTCATGATAGTGTCAAGGTCGCATCAAACACAGTTTAACTGGAGCTGACTTCTGCCTCTTATTTGGTTCAATGGTATTTTTGTCTGTCTCTCTACCTTTGGTTAAACAAATATTTTACAATCGGTATCTTGTGTTTAACCGACTATCTTGCGGCTTTCTTTAACTTGATTTTGCCCGTTTGATTGCTGTCAGTAATTTTGTTAGTTTAAAGCAAACCTGGTCGTATGCGGTTTCCTAGTCTTCATGTGACAAGAGTCAAAATTGCTGTCGCCTTTAACTTTTCAACTTGTGTGATTTGGGGAATAGTTCACCGTCTGTGAATTTGAAATTCCTTATTAGATTTAGTTACGCTGAATATTTGAACATTTCACTTGGTGATGTAAAACATTGCTTGGGAATTTAATACGAAACACAGCCATTTTGATAAAGGGTCTTTAATTTCTTAAGATTGTGTAATTAGATGAGATTGCCCTCACCTGGCTTGGAGGAGAAGCTTATCTGCATTCTAAAGGAGTTTATATATAGTCGACATCTTTTATTCAACCATCTCTTAAACCATCTTGTCAACTCGTCTAACACTGTAATTTTAAGGTGGGTGTCAGGTTGGACTCGTTGAATTGAATACTAAAAGATAGTTGATGGAGATCCCACCTGTGATGTGAGATACAGTACATGAAATAACACAGTCTATAGTTATTAACAGTTCATCATAAAAAGAATTATAGAAGTGATCTGGAAATCGTTAATGTGCTTTGGAAATTATTTGATTTTATTTCATTAAGTGGATTTAACCTGAGCAGTGACAGTAAACGTGTATAAATTTCCTATGTAGACACATGTACGTATAGTGAATGTTTGTTTAAGAGAAACTGTACCCGTTATTGAGTTTAAGTGATTGTGCGCGTTTGTTGGTTGACGACTAGAGTTGACACAGCCTACTGTCTAGTTATACATACCTACCATTTATAGTTTTGCCTGGTTGCTGACTAGAACTTATATATCACCTGTAGATATATATATTACTTACCTATTGTCTATATATTCTTATATAACCAACACCATTATTCATGTATCAGGGAGCACTTTTAGGACAAGCACTCATCAATTACAGCACACTGGTAAGCTTGTTAATTATTTCGATTATAAACTTTGCTACATTTTGTAAAGGCCAAGGTTTCCATTTAGTCACAGGGTGTGATAAAGTTATGGCGTTTTAAGATTAGATCTTAGAATAAGTTTTCTCTTTTAATTATCTAAAAATGTAATTCTGAGAAAATTATTTTGAGTCACACCTTCTTAATCCATGTACATTTGTAAATATTTTTGGTAATATCTTGTGATATTAAATGCTGAAAAGGCTTCGAAGAAGAATATAAAAGAACTTGTCATTCATAAATTATGAATTGAAAAATGTATCACAAGATGTGACGAATTAACTGAGGTGAATACTTTCTAATTCAGATAGAAACTATTTAATAAATTTAACTGTTAAGTGATGACAGTTTTGGGTTGCATTGTGATTTAGTTTCTAATGTTATTTCCTCATTTTCATTTTCTGTTTGTTTTTTGTTTTCTTTTAAAAGTATGGGTTGATTGACTAAGGTTTTTTATGCTTTTAAAAACATTTCCTTCTTAGTACACACAGGGTTACTACTGTAAATTCCCTATAACATCTGTATATATATATAAAATTATATTAAATTGTTTTAGATGATGATGTAGTTTCATTGTATCAACCTTTAAAATCATTAGCTATTTATCAGTTTTATATAATTTCTAAGAAAGGTTTTAGTTATCTTTAAAGATGATAGATTTCCCTAGAGTTAATTAGTGTTCTTTACTGACAGACCATGACTTGAGTGTTACATTGAGCTACAGAAGTGTTATTGTTCTGCTGATGTGAATCGTGTTGGCGTCAATACTGGCAAATATTCTTCACTTTTGATTAAAAGAATGATTCAGATTTCGTGTATAGACATTCGTTTGTGACAGATACTGGTAGAAGTTAAAGAATAACGTGTCTTTTCATTAAAAGAAGTAACTTCACTTTTCCTTATGTGAAAAAGCAGGCTACAACATTATGCTCCTTTATTAGTTAGTAGTTTTAGTTTTCATTCATCCACAAATTTGATTCTTTGAGTTACAAAGTTAACATGGTTACACAGATATCTAGTGATTCATTACATCATAACCATGACTTATTTGATTATGACCAAACTATTTAAGACATGGAACAAGTAACTATCCCCAAGTTGACAAGTAACAAATTACCAGTCCACCATAATAACTATATAACAGATTACAATATAAATTTGTTAGTTAAATTCTTGCAATGTAATAAATTACCAGTGCTTTACACAATATGTAAATGCACAGTTTACTTGTGAAAAAAAAGGAAAATCAGTTAGACCAACAACTAACAGCCCTAAAACTGAATTCAAGTGGAAGAATAATAACTTGAGGCAGAATGTGTATACTCTTTGAATATTAACACTTTATCAATATTGCTGGAATTTATTTTACTTCAGAGCAACAAGAAGTGACTTGTAGTTGTAGACATGTTGTAACGACTTGTTATATACCGTAATATACTAGTCTATTCATTACAACATAACAAATTTTGTGCATTAATTTCAAGTTTTGCAGACTAATTACAACATAACCATTTATTGTGGATCAATTACAACATAAAAGTTATTACAACAAATTTTATAATTGTTGCATAGCAAATTTTATGGACTAAATATCGCGTAAGGAAGTACTGGAAGTAACGAATAAATGTTCACTAATTACTACATCAATTACTAAAATCAATATTAACAAATTACAAAAAAAAAACACAAATGGCTGCTTGTAGTTCAATAATTGCAAATATAACTAAATGCTGTTTTACTAATTAATATCAATATTTAGATTTATTTATCTGTTGTGTTAACCAATAAATAATGTCAAACACATTGCTTTTTGATCTGTCAACAAGATTAGTTTAAATCATGCTTTTGTAAATTTTGTTGTTTAATTCCTTCAAACAGAATGGATTGATTTGGAAAGATGTTTTTCTGATGTTCTCACTGATTGCCATCACTTGCAAATGTTTCAATCATCCCCAGAAATTGAATCATTGAAGTCATTTGTTCTTTTTATGCAGCATCCTTTGAAATCCTAATAAAACTAATAGCCCCAGTGGAGTCCTATTTAACAGTCTGGATAACCTAATCTTTAAAAAGTGCAACAAGTTATTAAGCTGATCTATTTTAAGCTATTGATTTGATAGCACAACCAGTTAACAGGCTGGATAATCAAAGAGCAACAAGTGTTGTTGTATGAATGGAAGTGATCAGTCATTGCCGTCTGATAAAACTTGATAGGCCTACGTACATTACTGATTACTTCCACCAAAAAGCCAAAAACTTCTCTCTCATTTCTTAGTGGTAAGATGAGTCATACCTCCCTTATATTATCCACTGCACCATTAAAACAAATAATAACTGGCACATTTTACTAGTTATCATCTCTCAGGGGCTTTCAACTTCCATTTGTCTTCATTCTCCAACTCTGTATTCCCTGACAAACATTAAAACTAGAATAAGCCATTATCTTTCTTGCTATACATCCAGTTCGAACATCATCTCGCCTCATTTCAATATCACTTGATTTCTGCGATGCACAGATTCCCTCTGATGAATTTTGCTCGTTTTCTTATTGATTAAATCTATTCAACTTCCTCCACAAAGATTTTCTGATTTCGTTAAAAAGATTTGTGGAATAAGTTTTTTTTATTTGATTATAGCTGATTTGCCCATGTTGGAAATTATCTATGATTGTATATTGTATGTCTGCTTGTATTTTACGGTCCAAGAGTCCCAAGGAAATAGAGGTGATGTTTGATTAAATCGAATTAAAGAAGCAACATTTTTAATAAAGTTTATGTCAAGATGATCTTGATAGTTTTATATTGAACTCACATGGTTAAAAATTGTCAATGTGATTCAGGCTGATTTTGAGGAAATGTGCAGTCTATGGTCTTTAGTACCAGGTAAGATAAAAAAAAAGTAGAATTTAAAATTGTATACAGCAAATTTTCATCGTATTTCACAGAAAATAGCTTATAGCTTGTTGTAAGATTTATGAGATGTTGCATCTTTGAGTTGTGAATAGGTATTGGAAAAATGTGGTCACATGTAGGTGTAGAGCAGCAAAATATGCAAAATAAGCATAGAAACAATCCCATTAATGCAGATTTGTAGAAATTACCAAATTTTCTCCGTGGGCTTTCTTTACAAAAACTTATTCTAAAATATTTTACAAATGCAGCCTTTTGATTGGTTCAAACTAAAACCTTTATTGGGATTTTAACTCCCATCCAATGAAATGGCTGTTTCCTTTTAAATGTTTTAGTCAAAGTTTTAACATTGCCTAAATTGATTTTATTCTCTAGCAAGATAAAACCAATATTATTCAATTCTTAATAAATATTAAAGTCATTCTCAGCATATTTGGATAGTTACTTTAACTTATTAGTCATATTAATTTTGCTATCTTATTGTTTTAAAGAAACGATTTATATAATATTAGATATTTTGAGATAATTGATAAAAAAAAAAATGAAGATAACAAAAGGTAATCAATAGATTAAATGATAAAAAACAGTTTTTACATCACGTTTTATGTTTATTTGTCTGTTGACTAGAAAAATTGACTTGTCTGCCTTGCTGTTAGCTATAATCTTTATAATAATACAAATTAATACAAGTGGATTTAAGTGTGTTTATGTCATATTTTCATCTATTTGTTCATTTTAACTGAATTTTATGAAGAATAAATTTTTTTTTTTAATGTTTAACCACAATGAGAGCATTAACATGCACATATGTTGGTTGAAACATTTCTATGTAACTTCTGACTTGCGTGACCTGCCAGTGTACTATTGTGTTTAAGATATACATTTCAAATTTTTTGCAATTAGTAAACCAATTGACCCGACAATATCCATTTCGATGTCTGATAATATTTTCTCAACTAATAAAGGAGAAATTTATTAGATCTGATATCCTGCAGTACAATGACAAATTATAGAACCAACCATTCTAACATCGCCTTTATGGCCTTGTTTTAAGTAGCCATGTTGTTGAGTTGATTTGATCCAGACTAAAAGACCATCAAGCACAGCCATAATAATTCATCAATCAATTAAACCTGGGCTTAGTTTGAGTTCATCCCAGCAGCTTGATGGTAGTTTGCGTGACTATTCTATCTTATTCAATATTGGTCTGTTGACCGGCTGATACTTGACTTGTGTCGACTGTCGTGGAGGGATTTAGGGATCTGTCAAGCTGAAAGTAGATTGTAATAAATCCCAACAATCATTTTGTACAATCCATATCACTATCATCAGGTGATTCGTTGTTGATTGAACTGACTGATTGGTGCTGCCTGTCTTTTTATTATAGTTAGCCATCTTCGTTTTCTGTGCTTTGTGTTTTCCTTGTGTTGGTTAAAATTATTAACCACAAACAATTCATTAACCGCGGCCTAAGGTACAAATTAAACTATTAATAAAAATGATTTCATTCAGTTATATTATTCAGTTTAATAAAACTACCTGATTTAAAAGGTTTTGGAATGAACAGATACGTATACTGCCTGTAAATTCGACAGTCAAGTACCGGTATCTTCTTCATTCTTGCCAAAACAGAAGCTTATCATGGCCAGGGATCAAAGACTCTAAAAGCTGTATGCCTCATATAATATTCAGGTAGAATGTCTTAAGTTCATGTCTTAAGGAATTTTCATGCCTGTTTTTACGCCCACATTTTCATGTGGATGTATATTGTGTCCGTCCGTATATCCGGACTTCTGTGCTGCAGTTCACATTTTGTTTGTGGACACTCTACAGGTCACAATTTTTATCCGATTTCGACGAAACTTGGAATATAGGTTTATATCCCAAAGATCTCGATTCCTTTGGATATTGGCATGTGTCAGACCGTAACTTCATGGATTATGGCCCTTGATTGTACGTAAAATCATGTTTTTAGCTTATTGACATGCTCACAATTTTTATCTGATTTTGATGAACTTAAAATGAATGTTTATAACCCAAATATCTTGGTTCCTTTCGACATTGGCCCATATTGGACCATAATTCCTGCCATATGGCACCTGA